ATGGTGGAATGTGATGATCATTATTATCCAAAGTACATGTATGAAGGCACGAATTAGTGTGAATATACATTGTATACAACCAAAGATATGAAAAATTGTGCTCTATATGTGTAATAAGAATTGTAATGCATCCTGCTGTCATATATAAATAAAAAATAAATAAATAAAATTAACTCAAAAATTTTAAAATGTGGGAAAAAATGTCTGCTGAAGACAATCTCATGGACTAGTCAAAGGTGGGCTCCCTTGCCGTACCTGAGTCTAAGGTGACTTCTATGTCCAAAGAGGCCAGCTGTTCTAGCTGGTGACCATGCAACATCTTTACTTGAAAGAGAGCCTTGACTAGAAATGGAATGAAAAGGGGTTGGAGGGATTGAGTAGGGTGAAAAGTCACGGAATACTGGTGTTCTTCATTTATTCAAAATTTACAATGAGCCGCACGTTATGTTAAGTTCTTTAAGTCTCTTATTTCACTTAAACCTCACAACTATTGTGGTGGCTGTTAAAGTTTCCACTATTGACAGATGATAAGAGTGGGTTTTTCTTTTGCTTTCATGTTCTGGGGATTAAGCCCAGGGATGTTCTACCACTGAGCTATAGCTCCATCTTTTTTTATTTTTTATTTTGAGACAGGATCTTGCTAAATCATAAAGACTGGTCTTGAACTTACAATACACCTGCCTCAACCTTCTGAATAGCTGGAATCACAGGCATGTGCCAGTACTTCCAACAGGAGACTGGGTCTTATAGAAGTGGAGGAACAGAATCATGTAGCCAATAGGGGCTGGGATTCAAATCCAGTTTGATGGCTCCAGACCTCTTTCCTAACCACTTCACTCTACTGTCTTCTCAGGGACACCCTCAGTCAGTTTATATCTCAGGATTTCCCATCTGGGCCGTGTCGGGGAAGAGGAGATTGCCAGCAGAAGGAAGGAGGAAGGGTATGGGCGAGGATGGGCTAGGCAGCTGGAGCTGTCCATGGTGCTGGTACCTCTCTGTCAAGGGTGAGGCGGGAAGGCTGGAAGGAGGCAGAATAGGAGAAGCAGGGAGAGCTACTGGAGAGACAGAGCCCTGCTCAAATTAAAAGGAAATAAGCCTGAGACGTCAGATGTGGTGGCAGATCCTTCACCAATGAGAAATAATCAAAAGGGTGAGACTTCAAGTTTGGAGGACTTCATATTGAAATAAATAATTGTGTATACAATAGCCAGTGAGGAAGGGATTTGTCCTCAAGTCTGACTTGCAACCAATATAGTATAGCTATGTCGGTTGTTAATATCTGGGAATTCCTTGGCACCATTTGGTAAGCAGTCACTGGCTGAGCCCTCCACTGCCATGGCTGCCTTCTCAGTCCCCTCCCTGCACTCAGGCTTTCCCATGGTCCAAGAAGTAAAGGGACAAAGCCTGAGAGGGCATCCAGCATAATGTGGGCTTCCAGGACACTTCTCTGGCTCTAAGACCATAGGCTAGTTGTCTCATAGGCTAGTTGTCAAGCATTTTGAGTTCTGTCCCCCTTTATCCCCATTTTACAGATAAGGAAAGGGAGGGTTTAGGAGGTTGAACAATTTGTTCAAATACTAAAAGTTGGGGGAAAAAAGATGAGGGAAAAAAACTAGAACCAGAACTTGAACTTGAGTCTTCTGAGATCAAATTTCATGTCCTTTTCCCATACTGTTTTTTTCTCTTTGTTTTTATTCTTAATTTTTCATGTTTAATCATAAAATTTTTTCATTATGATAAACTAAATATCTAAATCATCTTGAAGAATCAAAGTTTTAGTGAAGTCAAACTAATAATTTTCCAAAACTCCAGGGCAAATTATATGAATGGTAGGAAGCTGTGTCTGAAGTACTCATCTGGACTTTATTTAAAAAAAATTTCAAGAAGAATCTGTCAGTCCATTCTAAGGGAAAAACACAGCACCTTGGAGACAGATCCTTTCAATTTAGTTACTATGCTGAGATGATTCAAACAAAAACTAATTTGTACTAATCATGCAGAGATCATATGTAAAATGGTCACTAATTTATTCCAAACTATTCCCTTACTGTTGACCTGTATCTTTCTACCCTGTTATAAGGACAATGAATAGAGGTGTAGAGTTATCTAGGGAGGCTGGGTTTGTTCAGAGAGTTAGAAAACCCTATGGTGGCCCCAGGCAGGTTGGAGCCCTTTCCTTCAAATTCTCTTGCCATATGGCAATCTACGTGCAAACTCCTGCTCATTTTGTGCCCCAAAAGTGCATTCAGGCTGGTGATGCCGCCAATCTCTCGATGCCTTCCTATTCCAACAGCTACAGGGACCTTGCCCCGTGCATGCTCCTAGATCCATCCCTGAATACATTGATGGCCCTGTCACTTTCCACCTCCAAGGCTGGACTGAGAAGACACGCCCCACTCATTTCTGAGACCAGGAGCTTCTGTGAGAGAGCCCACCACCTCACTTCCTTCCTCCAAATACACCTTGGATGCGGACCTGATTCCAGATCCAACAATCAGACTACAGCCATTGTTGCAGTGTGAAGGAAGAACAAAGGAGGGCACAGACAAGTGCTAGAGGACTTGTCAGGAGGAGAGTCGAGCACTCTGCCATTGGCTTTTGTCTTTTTCCACCTGGAGCAGCAGGGTAGCCTCCTTCTCAGAGAAATAAAAGAGGAAAGAGTGGTGAGGAAAACACACTCTAAATGTGCAGCAGAGAGGCTGGGAGCTGTAGGAAGCGACGGTGCACAGAAAACTGACTGACTTATTTTGGGGGACCTCCCATTTAAGGAGTGGGGTGTGTGTGTGTGTGTGTGTGTGTGTGTGTGAGAGAGAGAGAGAGAGAGAGAGAGAGAGAGTTTGTTGACTGCTTTACACAGGCTCAATTACTCAACCTTCACAATACCTTTGGGAAATTATTCCCAAGAAACAAATGAGGAAACTGAGGATCAAAAAATGATGTGACTTTCCCTAAGCCACACAGCCAGTAAATAACGGTCAGAATGAATCCCAGATTCCCAGAGTCTTCTCTGTTCTTTGGAGGAGAGGAGCAGCCATGGGAGCATGAAAAGACACTTAGAAAGCTTAGCAAAGATATTTCGTGTGTGTTGAAGTCCAAATCACTGCGTGTGCTTTACCTTTCTTACCCCCAGCTCTGGGTTCTGGAGGGTCTGAGGCTGCTCCGACCCATCCTTCTTCCTTTCACCCACATCCTGGGCTTCATCAGTTTTCCTAAATCATCATTCACTTTTGTTTACAGACTTGAACCAAACAACACCTTCCTCTGATGGCGTTTTTTTGGGGGAAGGGGGTTGTCCAGGGAGGACATGATTACCAGGGCACAGCAACTATTATTTCCCACAAGTTCTAGGCTCCTGAAAAGGGGACTTCCAAAGCAAGCCAAGGTTCCACTTCCTCTCCTCAGGCTCAAATCCTAGCTGTGCCTCTTTCCATGCTATCCACCTCCCTGGGCAAGGTCCAGTAGGCAGACCTCTCCCTGAGACTCTCCACGCAAGTCAAGGTCACTAGCTGCAGAGCTCCCAGGAGATAATTAGAATCCCATAGATCCAATAGAAACCAAGACCACAGGGGCCCCTGCTGACAGGAGGAACCATCATCTCCTTTCATCCTTCCAAGCCCAGAGTCTACCAAAGTGTAAGCGGGCAAGAACTCTAGAAGGGGGATCCCCCAGTAAAGACACAGAAGGACTCATGGCCCTACTATGAATTTTTCTTCCTCTTTGGGGTTTTCCTGGGGTCCCCACTGGACTCTACTCCTAGGAACAATGCTTCCTATTTTCATTTTGGCCTAAAATGGAAAGGTCTATTTCTTTGTCCTTAAGGTCAAGCTGAGTCAGGCTGACCATTTCAAAAAGAACTTGGGGAAAACAAAAAGGAAATCATTATAGAAACCATAAACAGCATAAAAGTCGTCATGTCCAAAGTACACATTTCAGATTCTGAGAATCCCATGAAAACAAGTGAAACACTCACTGAGTTCTACATTCCTTGATCCCAAGAAAACTCCAAGCCTAATCATGCTAGCATAACTTAACAGGCCCCTTGGCCTGCCCCTTGCCCCCAGTCCTGCGTGCCTCTGGCCATGTGATCGCCCAGGCCAACTCAGGCCACTATTATCTCAGCCACCTTCCACCTTTCACAAGTGAATCCTAACTTTCCAAAAATTATAGTTTATTTCTTGGTTTACTTCTAGACTAAGCTCTCTTCCCATAACCACAGCCTGCCTCTTCAATCTGAGGAGAATCCAGCTCACTGTCCTGGATAGTGAAACATATTTAAATACCCACAAATGAACTTTGAGATTTCCAACCTCACCTACCTAAAGAGTCTTCACCAAGAAAGAGTCTTCTTCCAAAGCACACATGGACAAGTGAACACATGGGCTTCCGAAAATCCACATTATCGTATAGTAATTTCTTCTTCATACATTAACCTTTGGAACCCTTCAAGAGAGTTAATTCAATTTCAAAGAGTTAATTCAAATTCCAAACAATATGCAAATAAGTTAGCAATTGCAATCGCCTGAAACGTGATTCTGGCTGGGGTTCTGACCCTATGTCAACAGCAGTTGTGGGGAAAGAACAAGAATGACTCCTATTTGGGTGTCCAGTCCAAAGAAGTAGTCCCCTATAAATCTGGTCGTCAATGATTGCTGGGACGTCAGGACAATTAAGGCATTATGTATAATAGCACGTTGTGATTGGTGAAAGCCTACAGTTACTACTACAGCAGGAAAAGTCAGGGAATAAAAACTGAGTAGTATGAGGATTGAAATTGGGTGACAGGGGCTGGGGAATGCACCTCAGTGGTAAAGCGCTTGTCTAGCATGCGCGGTTCCATCCCCATCACCGCAAAAACAACATCCAAACAACACACACACACACACACACACACACACACACACACACAATCACAATCAACATTTGGGCAACGCATTCGCCAACACTGAACTTGACCCTTTCGGGTTGCCGTCGTTGCCCTGGGATACCAGGAGACGCTGTGTCCTGTGCGTCCCGTATCTGTGGAGACCGCAATATGGCGGCGGTGTGAGTTAGGAGCGTTGGTCCGCTGCTAGCGAGTAGCCAGGGAAGGAATCTGTACCAGGAGACTGCCTCCTCCGGGAAGTTGTGGCCAGGGCCCCTCGGGGTCCTCAGACAGCCCCGTAAGACTGGGAAAACTTGGGCGAGATCAGACCGGGAAGCCCGAAGACAAAAAAGGAACAGCTCTAAGTATATTTTGTTTCCTTCATTTTACCTATTTTTTCCCCTCAACTCCCCACGACGACCTCCACTTTTTTCTCTGGTCATCTTGAGAAATTTTAATATCGGAAATTAGGCAGTTAAAGGTGGCTGGTGATGTGTGTGTGTGTGTGTGTGTGTGTGTGTGTGTGTGTGTGTGTGTGTGTATCCCTGGAGATTAGAAGATTGGATTAAAGAAAAAAGTAAAACAAAACCCATAATTGCCCAGTGTCTTCACGATGATTGCAGCAGTGTGAAGTCTTTTAGGAAAGTAGTGCAGGCTATTGTGGAAGCTGATTGTTAGTCGTAGTAACATTGGTTTGTTTAATGCTTTCTCAAACCCCTTATTTCACATAAGCTTTACATGAATTGTGAAATAGGACAACCCTCATTTTATGGAATAGATTGACGTTCAGTGTGATGGAGAAACTTGCTTGTCCCAAGAGAGTCTGGGGAGTTAATTGAAAGCTGCTTGCCTTGCTTTCTGCTCATTCAGTCCTTAGCCTAGGATGGGCCTGTTTCTTACCCCATTACTCTCCCTATGCACTCTCTGGGCTAATTCCATATGTTGAATGGAAACTTTTTCAGAAACTGCCTGTAGAATCCTCTGAAGTCAGAGACATCAGTGAGTAGGGGCAGGACTCCAAAGTGATTCAGTGACAGAAAAGTAATTGTAATTTCCTCCCTGTCTCTTCAGCTTGCATTTCTTGGGTTACATTTGAATGTTTTGCTTTAAAATTGAAGGTAGGAGTCTTGCCTGTCTTGTCCCATGTCTAGTACAGTATCAGCTAATAGTAGGCACTCAGTAAATACTTTGTGAATGGAAGAGTGAATGAATGAGTACATGAATGAGTGGATCTAAGATAGTCCCTTCCAGAAGATTTGGGAAACCCTCTAGGAACAACTGAATCAAAAGAATCTTTTGCTTTGGATGGGTGGTAGAGAAGGAATGGGAGAGTGTCTTCGGGATGTGTACAAATTCTTAAAGGTGATCATAAAATATTTACTAAATTTGAGTGAGTACATTATAATAAGGAGCTGAACCACAAACATGAACAGGAGAATTAGGCTAGACAAAATGAAAGTCACTTGCAATTATAAACTGTTGTAAGGATTAAAGTACCTGTGAAGACTTTACAACACTGCTTGGCACATACATTCTCAGTGGATGTTAGCAGAAATACATACCATTTTTGACATTGTGGGGAAAGATACTGAGTTGTCTGAAAAAATATCCCTATGTTCAAAAAAGGTGTTAAGAGTGATGCTGCCCAAGGTGATAGCCACTAGTCAAATGTAGCCATTAAGTACTTGGAATAGGAGCAGTCTGAATTTGAAATATAAAACTGTACATCAGATTTGAAAAAAAAATGTAAAATATCTCAATAATTTTCTGTCAATTACTTATTAAATGTTAGTGGCTTAAATAAAATACTTTATTATTTCACTGATTTCTTTTACTTTTTAAATGTGGCTACTAGATAATATTTAATTACATACCTGCCTTGCATTATATTTTGGGGAGCAGAGCCATGTTTGGTGATTTCTTGGATTATTGCTCTGTATTGAGTGTAAAAGGAAATTAGAGCTGAGTGGATTTCTAAAAAAATGGTACTAGGGGTTGAATTCAGGTTCTTAAGCATAATAGGCAAGGATTCTACCATTAAGCTACATCCCCAGCCCTTAGAGCTGAAGGTTGTGAGGTGGATCATTGTAGAGGTCTGGAAACCAGTATCATATGTGCCTGAGCAAGACTGGCTGTAGCAGGAGTGTCTCAGAGTAGAAGTTGCTATTCTCTTATATAGGTTACAAAGTCACATGTGAGTGTATGTGCCAAAGGAAACCTATTAAAGGAAGAAAGGATTTGAAGTGATGAAACTAAAAGTGGTGTAAGACACTTTGTATCACTTAGAGCAAGGTCAAGAACTCTCTTTCACTCATTTGGTGAAAGCTGTGATTGCTATTCTTGGAAAATAGCACCTGGGTATATGTATGATATGTCGCATATAATATGCATGAAATTGTTTCATATTTTTGTATATAATTTTCAGCTCTGACCCAGTCCATTCAAGGATCTCTCTATTCTAGAGGTTGTTAATCTTTTTTTTTTCAGTGTTGGAAATCAAAACAAGGGTCTTGTGCATGCTAAGTAAGCACTCTACCACTGAGCAACATCCCCTGCCCCTTCACTGATTCTTGTTTTTTTTAAACCTTTTTATTAGTTATTGATGGACCTTTATTTAGTTATTTGTTTATATGTGGTGCTGAGAATCGAACCTAGTGCCTCACACATGCTAGGCAAGCCCTCTACCACTGAGCCACCACCCCAGCCCTTGCTTCATTTATTCTTTAATTGATCTGTTATTTTAGTGAATGTTTGCTTTAAACTTGGTCTACAGGGTGTGCTCTGGTAGAGAAAACCCAGAAGATTATGAACATGCCATCTCATTTGCTTCTTTGCCCTCTATTTCTCTTCTCATAGCTTATAAGACACATTTAGAGGAAATAGAGAGTAAAAGCAAGCTAAAGGTAAGGCATGTGCTTTGGTGACTGGGGACTTGCTAAGTAATGCCAATTGAGGCCATGGAGGGGCATGGCTGGATGGGCCTTATTCCCAAACCTCCGGTTGAGTGCCTTTCCTGAGTGGTGTCTCTCGGCCCCCAGGCAAAGCTCCAGATCATATTTCTAGTGTCGGGTCTCATGGTACTGCCTCCTCTCTTACCAGAGGTGGGAAGCAGGCCTTCTCTTCCATCTCAGTGATGGCTGTGGCAAGTCCCCATCATCAGCCTCTTTTTCTCACATCCCTCCTGTCTCCCCTCTGCTCTCCTCCCCACTCCAGACTTGTACCTGGATCTGCAGGAACTCCTAGCTTAGTCAGAGTGCTTCCTTGGCATTCTTGTTCCAGGTACCCATTGCTCATCTAGGCGATATCAGGTCCCACCATGAGGCCCAGGGACAGCGGAGACTGCACTATGAATTCTGGTGGGTCATGCCTGAGTACCATTACAATGGCTGTCCCCACCATCAATGACAGCAGTATACCCATGAGCACCTGCAGCAGCAGCACCAGTGCCCAGGTGAGAATGGTAGAGTAGAATATGGCAGCACCAGTCAGGACATGGATGGCAGGGAAATGGGGCAGGAATCTGAGGGACATGACTGTCATTTACCCTCCAGTGTTAGACCCTGCATAGGTGGAGCACCAAGCCAACTGGAATGTCGGGAGCAGTGAGCACTATGTGAGAAGCATGGGGTGGGGCTCCACGGGGAGGAGCAGGCAGGAGTCTGGGCAGGTAGCCAGTGTTTCTCTCTTACCTCAGAACACTCTTTTGGCCTTGACCCTGGGACTTTGTATTTGACCATCGTGTGGATGTTGTTTACTTTTTGTAACTTTTGTGGTTCTCTGTATGGCAGCACAGCTGTCCAAGGGTGTGACGATGGAGTATGACTTTGGGTTTGGTGCAGCTTGTGTTCATATTGTGTGTGGGTGTGTGGCGTGCGACTGTGGTGTGTGGATGGTACAGGGTGTGTGTTAGGTGGGTGGTGCAGTGTGTGTTGTGTCTTGGGGGTGGTACCTGCCTCTTTATATGTGACGGTTGTTGCATTCATCTCTCTATGGAGAGGAGTCTTCTTGGATGAAGGTGTCTCCTCCATCTGTGTCATTCTGGGCATGTTCGTCTTTGGATTCGCTTGCCACCCTTCCCTCTGGACGGGAAAGGCCCCCTCCTCTCTCTCCGATTTCAGCCCCATCTGCACCAGCATCTGAATCTCCCCAATGGCTCTTGTTCCCACCGTAGAAACTTCGGGACTCTAGTAACCCCACCATCTCCCTTCAGCTGGGTGTGGTGGCTGTTTCTTGCTGGATTTCTTCATTGTTCCTGATTGATAATTAAATTCTGTTTTAAATACCAGGATGGCTTCTGTTTTCCTGGTTGGATCCTGACAGATGCATCAACTGATATTTTTAGTAAATCACCCTCCCTCATCCATGCCACCTTTTCTCCATGTGCAGTCAGGGAAAGAAAATACAGTGGCCATTCAGCACTCTCAGTAAACATTGAAACTGAGAATGTGAGCACTAAGTGAGAAGGGATTTGTTGGTCTCATTCACTATTGTGATCCTAGCACTTAGCACAGAGACTGGGGCATAATAGGTCAACAATATTTGTTAAATGAATGACTACATCCTTGTGGTATGTAATGATAAACCAGCTAATAAAGATCAAAGATAAAATGGCAATGAGTTGAGTGATCACACCAATGGCCTTGGTAGGAAGAGGCAATAGGTTCATCCTTCTTCCACCTTACTACCTAGGGAGGTTTCCATCACTCTTCCTCCTTAGCTGTACAGGCATCAAGCATCAGCCTGTGAAGGATCTTTCCAGAGCAGACAGGGAAGTGTTAGCACATTGCATCTCCAGCATCACCAGGAACAGCACTTAGAGCGGACCCAGAAGGGGAGGGGCAGGGACGGCTCACACATGAGTTGGCTGCTTAGTTTTATTAGCCAGCTGAGGGGTGGAAGAAGGAACTCTGATGGGTCCTGTGATCTGGAAAAGTGCCATTCCACATAGGAGAGGCTTCTTCAGTGAGGAGGAAGTGGGAGGACTAGGTTTCTGAGAGAGAAGGGTCTGAGGTGAAAGTGAGGAACACAACTGGCCGGCTAAGACTGCATGTGTGTTCTGGATGGACTGGCTGGATTGGGCTGCCCAAAGGGAGGCTTCCAGAGACAGGCTGTCATTGGCAAACCATTCAAGTGACCTTGGGAGAGGACATATCTTCCTCTGGGGCCTGCCTGCTCCTCCCCTCTCTCCAGACCATGCCCCTGGTGAGGGTTGTTGTCACTCTTCACTTGCTAGAGACACGGGGCTCTTTGTCCACTCTCTGGGCCTTTGTGTCCTACCCCTAATGCACTTCTCCTTCTTCCCCTTCTCCTTGCCACTGAACAGCCCAGCAGCCCCATAGACACTCAAGTGTGCCTCCCAAAGAAGCAGAACAAAGTAAAGAAGAGGGTCATCTGGGGCATTGAAGTGGCCGAGGAGCTGCAGTGGAAAGGCTGGGAACTGGGGAAGGAGACCACGAAGAACCTGGTTTTGAAAAATCTCTCCTTGAAAACCCAGAAGATGAAGTACAGGTACCAGAATGAGGGACCAGGGACCAGGCCCTGAGCCCTCAAGTCCCCAAAGTGGACTCTCTTTAAAAACAAATGAACTTTTGGGCTGGGGCTGGGGCTCAGTGGTAGAGCACTCACCTAGTATGTGTGAGGCCCTGGGTTCGATGCTCAGCACCACATATAAATAAATAAAATAAAGTATTGTGTCCACCTACAACTAAAAAAATAATAATAAATTTTTTTTAAAAAATGAACTTTTAAAATGCCATATAAAATCAAAGGAGTGTTCAAAATGTGCAGTTTGAAGAAATCCAGAAAGTGGCACTCCTGTAACTGGATGAAATCATGGAACAATGACAGTGTCTGAAGCCTCCCTTCCCCCATCCTGGGTCCCTCCCCTCCTCACTAATGAAGAAAACCACCATCCCGCCTTCTATGTGACTTCCTTGCTTTTCTCAAATGCATTTACCAGCTGTGTCTACATCTCCAAATGACATCCCTAAATTGATTTTACCTTCTTAGGAACTTTATGTAAACGGGAGAATTTGGTGTACCCTTTTAACCCTTTCGTTTCTGTCTATAAGACAGGGTGACTAAGTTGCTGAGGCTGACTTGCTCTTGAAGTCCTTTTGCTTCAGCCTCCTGGGTTGCTGGGAAGACAGGTGTGCCCCATCAGGCCTGGACTGAAGTTTAATAACTTATCTATTAATTATTTGGGGTTTCTTCCAGGTGCACATTCATATTTTATATAGAAAGTGGTGATTCTCTTTCTTTCTTTCCAATTCTTGTACCTTTTCTTTGTCTTTACTGTACTATTAAATAGAAAGTGTTGAGCAGAAGTAGTTATAGAAAACAGCCCTGTCTTGTTTATGATCTTCAGGTGAAAGATTCCCAATGTTTCACCATTAAGATGGATATTTTCTGTAGGTTTTTTTCTTTTTTGTCTGGTGGACTTGATCATTTTAAGGAAGTTCTCTTCTATTTCTGCTTTGCTAAGTTTTTCTCATAAACACATGAAGTTTACCTAATTTTTATTGATTCTCTGTAGTTACATATGACAGTGAAATCTATTTTGATATATTTAAACAAGCATGGAATATATCTTATTCTAATTAGGACCCCAGTCTTGTGGATGTACATGATGGTGAGATTTTTATTGAGATTATCATCTGATTTTTTCCCTCTCTTAACTAACATGGTAAAATATATTGACTTTCTATTTTTTAAATATTTATTTATTTATTTATTTATTGTAGTTGGACACAATACCTTTGTTCCATTCCTTTATCTTTATGTGATGCTGAGGATTGAACCCAGGGCCCTGCATGTGCTAGCTGAGCACTCTACCACTGAGCACAATCCCAGCCCCTTGATTTTCTATTTTATATCAACCACTTATTCCTCAAATAACCCCAACTGGTCAAAACTGAGAATGCTTTCTATACGTTGTTAAATTCTTTTTGCTAATATTGCTAATTTTGTGTTTCTGAGTAAGCTTGTTTTTCTGTGTCTCTAGGGTCTAGAGACCCTGCCTAGTCTCTAGGGTCTTTGCAATTTTCCTTCCTACTGTTTTCTTTGTGGAAAGATTTTTGACTACCTATTCCATTTCCTTGATGATTTCAGGTAGGATGCCATAAAATTTATTGTGCAATTCTTGAGTCAGTTTGGTTAGTATGTTCCTCAGTGTGTTTATTTCATCTAAACTTAAGCATTTATAGGCATAGAGTTGTTGACAGCATCTTATTAATATTTTTAAAGTCTACAACATCTGTGACATTGGCCACCCTGGCACCTCCCTTCCCAGCCTTGATTACCCCAGATAAAAGCTCAGGGATTCTATTAAATCAAGATAGCCTGTCCCCATTCCTGTCCTCCTGGGCCATCATCCTCATCAGAGGCACAAGTGTTGTTCTTTTTTGATTTGGGTAAAGATCTGAAAGGACTGTGGGAGTGGCTGTGCCCTCTTGTGATCAGACCCTGTCTCCCTCTCCATGGACTCATCTCCTTTTTCTCCATGGTCCCACGGACTCCAGCCCCCTCTGCTCTCTCTAGAGTCTGCAATTTTCCTGCCTCCTCTGGTTGCTATAAGCCCAGATCTGAAGTGCTCATCTCTTGGCTCTTTCCTGAAGGCCTCTCAAGACCAAGTTCTTCTTCACGGTCATCCCTCAGCCCATCTTCCTGAGCCCAGGCATAACTCTCATGCTACCTATTGTCTTCCGGCCTCTAGAGGAGGTAAGTCCCACCAAGCAAACAGTAGCATGATGGGAGGGACATGGGAACTGGGACCTCAGAACAGGAAGTAGGACAGAGCAGCAAGGCACTCCCCATACCACACCTACACCCTGCCAGCTACAACTAAAACCCCAGCTGGGGAGTCCCCCACAGGGCTAGAGCCTAATCTCCTTAGGCAGAGGGATATTCCCCATCAGATTTGGGGGCGTAAAGACTGCAATACTGTGTTGGTTACTAGTAAGTCCTAGATTTCTTGGCCTCTTCTTGCTCTCTTCAAGTTTCTTCAAAATTCTTTGTAACAACAACAACAACAAATTTCTCTTTGAGATGGGGGATCTTACTATGTTGCCCAGGCTAGCCTTGAACCCTTGGCTCAAGTGATCTTCCTGCCTCAACCTTTCTAGTAGTTGGGAATTATAAGCATGTGCCACCAAAATGTCCTCAAAATTCTTTGTTCCCCACAGAAGAGCCCCTCGTCTCTGAGACCCAGACAGTATAGGAGCACAGGCTGAGCTAGTACGTCACAACCCAGCCTACTGCCAGGGGTTGTGTTGGGGGGATGACTGAGGGGGGGTGGGATGTGTGGCCCCTGAGCACTAGGAAGGCACTGCTGACTGCCTCCCCTCTCCCCTGCCCTACAGAGAGAGTACAAGGACCAGCTGTGGTTTGAGAAGGAAGAGGGGATATTCTGTGTGGAACTGAGGGCCACCCTGCCTTGCCACAAACTAGAGTGCCCCCCGTCCCTACAGCTGCCCATGTGTGCCATCGGGGACACGGTTGAGGCCTGTTTCTGCCTGGACAATGTGGGGTGAGGGGAAAGTGGCTGAAGCTCAGAGGTGACAAGAACCAGCACTGGGAAGAGAGTCCAGGGAGCAGGGGAGGCAGACATGTCCCAGTGGGGAATAGGGCACCCCGGAGCCTCTACCTGATAAGGCCACGCAGTAGTCAGATGTACAGTGACCCGGACCCACCCCTTGCCTCCTAGGGACCTGCCCACCTTCTTCACCTGGGAGTTCCCCAGCTCATTCCAGATCCTTCCCACCACGGGGTTACTGGAGCCAGGCCTGGCTTGTAGGATCAAAGTGACCTTTCAGCCCCTCATGGCTGTCATCCATGAAGTGGAGGCCACGTGCTGGTATGGGGAGGGCAGCAAGCAGAAAAGCAGCATCCAGCTGCAGGCTATAGGTGAGGCTTTCCTCTCCGCTGTCCCCAGTGCACAGCTGCTGCTCCCTGGGTCTCAAGGCCTTAGTGTGCCCCCACCTCCCACTCTGCCTCCCCACCAACCGCCAACCCCCACACACAAGCTTTGCCTTTTCTTTGCTTCCATCATGTCACAGACTGTCTTCCCTGGGGACACATGCCTTCTAGGGACTGTTCCCCCAAAACTGCCCCATCTCTGCCCCAGCCAAATGTGCCCAGCTGGTGGTGAGCATAAGGCACAAGCGACCGGAGGACCAGGATGCTGAGGGCTCGCAGAAGGTGTTGCACTTCGGCTGCGTTGCTGTGGGCTGCACAGCTGAGAGGCAGATAAGGCTGTATAACCCATCCGTGGTATGCACTGGGCAGGGGAAGGAGGGTGGCAGGAGGGGGAGGCAGGACTCAGGGACCCCAGGACTGGGTGTGCTTAGACTCCATTCCCTTTTCATAATAACCCAGAGCCTCCAGTCTGATCCCACACACATCAACAGCTGTCATTAGACATTCCTCTCCCCTCTCAGCTGGCACTGGGCTCATGTGACCCTAGCCTCTCAGAGAACCCCTGGAGTAGCCCTAAGAGTGTCCTGACCCCAGGACCATAGCTAGCCCCATAATGCTTTGGGAAGAACAAGACTCTGTTCTGGGCACACGGCATGGCCCTTCCTTCTTCCTGGTGGAGGCAGCTTCACTCACACCCATGCCAATCAGTATGCACGGGCTAGATGCCAGCTGCCCCCATTACCTTGGCTGGACCCCTCTGTACAGTGCCCAGACTGCCCAACTCTGTGACCTGATCCTTTGCTCCCTCACCTGGACCCACAGGTGAATGCCCCTTTTAGGATCGAAATAGCCTCAGACATTCTGGCCAAAGACCAAGCCTTCTCATGTTCCAAGGGCCATGGCATCGTGCCCCCAGGAGAAAAGAAATATGTGTCATTATTCTTCCACCCTGAGGCCTTGGATGTCAGAACTATGGATTACATTTCCATCATGTCTTCCGGCTGTGTCTCCCAAACTGTGCTCAAAGTCGTTGGTTTCTGTATAGGTAATGGCGTCCCCCAGGCCAGGAGCAGCCCAGATTTAGGATTCCAGAGAACTCCTTGTCTGTTCCTAAGAGACCTTGCCTCTAGTCTGTCAGCCTGGATGTCTGCTGCCCCCTCGTGGCCCAGTGGGGAAGCATTGTGGATACCTGGTGATACCATCCTGCCACTACCCCTAATGACATGGGTCTCTGCTCAGGCTGCAGGAATTCTGTGCCCATCCTCCCTGCCCATCTATCCCCAGGCAACAGCAACCCCCAGCAGTGTCAGCCTTTCTGAGACATTCTCTGAGAGGCTAATACCCCAGCTCCACCCAAGTGGGAGGGCCCACTCGCAGGGACCACAACTCCTATGCCCAGGTCCTGCTGTGGCCCTGCAGCACTACTGTGTCAACTTCAACTGGGTCAACCCTGGGGAGCACTCGGAGCAGACACTGTGGATAGAGAACCAGTCAGACAGCACAGCACACTTCCAGTTTGCCATCGACTGCCAGGAGAGCGTCTTCAGCATCCAACCTGCCTTCGGGACCCTGGTGGGCAAGGCCCGCATGACCCTGCACTGCACCTTCCGGCCCACTCGCCCCATCATCTGCTTTCGACGGGTAGCCTGTCTCATCCACCACCAGGTGAGTGGTAGGGAAGGGGCTGAGGGGAAGGAATCTCTCAGTCTGAGAGCTAGTGAGGAAGGCAGGCCTCGGTAGCCATTCTCCTGTATTCTGAAACTTCCAGGGTGATATCTCAGCCATTTTCTCCTTCAGGGCTCCAGCCCAGGCTGTTGGAGCTAGATTGTGGCCAGGAGCACCTGAGGGCTTACTCTGAGCCAACTGGGTGTGCCAAGCTTGTCTGGTTGCTACCAGGCCAGAGACTTTGGTGAAGCTGTCGCTGGTGGGCTGGGGAGAGAGGTTTCGGCGTCATTCCACACAGTATGTGCAAGGCAGAGAGTCTGAGATAAGAACCCAACTCCAGGCCTCTGGGCAAGTCATTCCCTTGGTGCCCTGACCTGAGGGTGCCTGGCTAAGATGGCAAGCAGGGACTGAAATTTATCCTCAGATGCCTCCCAAACAGGTACTCAGGCTCTGGGCCCTCTCTCTCTAGGCCTGGAGAGTGGGTGACTCTTTCTGAGTCTCATGCAGGTGTGGGGTTCATGGGGGCCTTGGGATGGGAGGAAAGAACAAATTTGTTTTCTGCTCCCACAAGGAGGGCCTAAATGCTGGTCTTGCAGGCCCTTGGCTGGCAGTGGGACGGGTAGTACAAGGAATGCCCAGCGCCCATGTGCAGCAGAGGGAAGGGCAGGCCATGGCTGAGTGTCCCACTTACCACTGAGTCAGCTAGGCGGCTGTCAGAATGCTCCCTCTGCCTACCACCCTGCAGCTCCATCTCTGCCATCCTGTTTGCCCAGTGTCCATCCTCAGTTCAACTCCAGCGTACCCCCTTACCCCACCAACCCTCCTGTGCCCTGTCACCCATGGAAAATGTCGCAGGACCCGCTGTTCCTGGACCTGATAGGAACCTGCCACTCAGACAACACCAAGCCGGTCATCCTGAAGCCTCAGCACCTCACCTGGTACCGCACGCACCTGGCTCGGGGTCTGACACTGTACCCTCCTGACATCCTGGGCATCATGCTGAAGGAGAGGAAGCTGGAACAAGACAGGAATGGGGCCCTTATGATACCCATTGAGGTACCGTGGATCCCTTAGTGCCCATGGGGAGCAGGATGCCCTTTCCAGGTTCCAGCCCCCTCTAGCAATTTGTGAACAGTCCTTTGTTCCCAGAGGTACAACTATAGCTGAGGGTGACCTTCATGGAGCTCTTGCAGTCTTTTTTTCCAGAAGGGAGGGGCAGAAGGAGGGCAGTGGCAGGAGGAATGGCAGTTGGGCACCATCCCTGTCTCTCCCCTTACAGGACCTGGAGGATATGCCAGCCCCGCAATACCCCTATATTCCTCCCATGACTGAGATCTTCTTCGATGGTACCAATGACTTGGCCATCTTCCCCCCACCCGTCAGCATAGAGCCCATGGAGGTGGACTTTGGTGGCTGCCCTGGACCTGAGCCCCCCAACCCTATCCCTCTGTGCCTGATGAACCACACCAAGGGCAAGATCAAAGTGGTCTGGACACGCAGAGATGACTGTCCCTTCTGGGTGACCCCAGACACCTGCGATGTGCCCCCACTCAAGTCTGTAGCCTTGCGTCTGCACTTCCAGCCACCCAACCCCAACTGCCTCTATGCTGTGGAGCTTGAAGCCTTTGCTGCCTACAAGGTGTGTGCTACAAAACAAGTCGGGGAAGATGGTTCTCTGCCTTCCCCAACAGAGAGGGGCAAGGTGGGGTGACAGCATGTGACGCAGGGTCCTGCATGATCCGTCCTGTCCATGCCCAGCTTCTCCTACTTTCTCCTTGGTTGGACAGCACCCCCTACTGGTTTGATCCGGCCTAACTCGGGCCCTCTGATAATGTCTCATTCATTTGGGGCCTCCCTCCCCTCTGGGGAGGAACTCAGGAAAATTGGGCTAGGGCGTTCCTGGCTTCCCTTCTAGTCCTCCAAGCAGGAAATGGTCCCTACAAAGGAGCTGTGGGCAGGCAGGAACCAGGCCTGGGAACTGAGTCAGGGTGCAGATAATGAAGTACACCAGGGAGGGCTACTGAGTACAGCTTCCCCTGTCAAGAACCTCAGTCCACAGCCTCTCCCCAGGCCTGCTGTGGCTGCTGGGCCTCTTAGTCCCTCCATGTTCCCAGGCAGCCACTTTCCCTCCCTCAGCCCTGTCCACATGCTGTTCTTCCAAGTTGCTAGCTCTGGGCTGGAGAAGAGCAGGGCTGAACAGTCAAGGTCGGAGTCCCTGACCAGCCCAGTGACCTTGGACAAATTCCTTCATATCTTTTCATCTGTAAACCAGGGACTGTTTCAGAACTTTTAGGGAGGTTTCCCAAACAGAGTTTTGAATTACCTCTGCTCTGGTGTCTCGGCAGTGGGGGAATATGGAAATTTGTAGAATAAGGCTGTAGATTCCTGGCTTGGCTGAGGCCAAGCACATCAGGTTTAGGTTACAGGGTTACAGGCTGTATACCTGTAACAGTCTGATAAGGTGGCTAGCAGCCACACGGGGCCACTGAACACTGAAAATGGAGATATGCTAGAAATATAAAATAGTTCAAAACTAAATTTCAAAGATTTCATACAAAAAGAAAGTAAAATATCTCATTAATAATTTTATGATGATTATATGTTACAGTGATAAGATTTTTAGATCCAGTGGGTTAAATAAAATATATTATTGAAATTAATTTCATGCGTTTTACTTTTTCATGTGGCCACTGGGACATTTAGAATTATATTTGTGGCTGGTGTTTGTGGCTCATGTTGTATTTCCATTGGCTACTGCTCCTCTGGGCTCATTCCTAGAGAATGAATGGTGCTTTCAGATCCTGCCCCACCCGCCTCCCCGGCTGTGGGGACTACAAGAGAGGGTTTGCAGAGCACTCTCTGTAGAGCCTGGCTCAAGACAGGGTGGGGGTGGAGGTGAGGGGTGTACAGCTGTTGTACTCTGCATGCACTGTCCCCCCTGCACCCTTGCCCCCTATCCATCCCAGCTTCAGCACCCAATGTAAGACTCCTGCAGCACAGGGGCAGGGGGGGTGGGGCAAGGTGGCTGCCTTCCATGGAACCCTGAGCTGCCCCCTGCAGGTCCTGTGGAGCTACAGCAACATCGAGGAGGACTGCACTGTGTGCCCATCTTGGTGCCTGACAGTGAAGGCACGAGGCCACAGCTATTTTGCTGCCTTGGAGCATCATGTCCCCCAATATTCCCTGGATGTACCCAAGGTGAGTATGGTACCAACAGCAGTGAGAGAAGGACAGGGGAGCACTGGCTCCTACCTGCAGATCTTTCTTTCTCTCTATCTTGCCTCAGAAACACACCCCTACACCCTCTCCAGCTGTCCTGGGGATCTGGGCCATTTAAGGACTTGCTCCTAGACCATGGCACTAGGACAGGGACATTCTGGGAGTTGGCCACCAGTCCTCCCTTCTCCCTCTGAAATAGTCACCTGGTCCTCTGCCTCAGGTTTAAACCTCCTCAGCTCCTTTGTTGCCAGTGCCCTGTTGACTGAGCGCCTGCCCAGCCTAGGTCCTGGGCTAGGCCCTAGGGAAACAAGGACCATTAGCCTTGTCCTTGGGGGATACTCCTTGGGGGATCAGAATTCCCAGGTCTCTCACAAGGCCCTTGAGGCCCTTCAGGCCTATGAAGCAGAGTGTCGAAGAGCTGAAAAGTGCAGGGCCTGCTGCCAAGCCACCAGCTGCTAATTCTAGTGTGGCCTCTGATGTCTCCTCCCGGCTCCCATCATCAGCTTTTCTCAATAGTCTTCTTGCCCTGGAAAAGTACCGCTCTGAGCCTGATCCTCCCACCAGCTCCACTCCTTTCCCCAGTCCCAAACCTGTACCACCCCTGCCCAAAGCCCTCCCTGACTCAAAGGGTTCTCCTGCTGATGCCCTCAGCAGTCTTCCCTTGGCATGTCCTCAAGTGGTCTGTGGCCTTTCCCATAGTCCCCACATCTGGATGGGACTTGGGTCCAGGATTGAGAGTTTGTGTTTGTAGCCTGATCAGCTGTAGCCCAGTGCACGCCCCACCTCAGAAGCTCAAGAAGAGTTTGGGGGTTGGGCAGTTGGGGCTGGATTCCTTCAGTCACCTGCATGAGAATCATTTGCTCCTGAGCTTCTAGACCAGGATTTCCGAAAGCATCTTTCCAAAGGGTGATTTGAGGGCGCTCTAAACAACTTTTCTTCTCACTGGAAGGACAGACCTTGGAGGCCTAAGCTTTTCTAGGACCTATGATTACCCGACCTGTGTTTCTAAAGGTCTCAGCAAGAGGGAAGACAAGAGTATTCTTTGGTGCTAGACTGTGGCCTCCCTCAATTCCCTACTTTTAGGTTGTTGGTTGAGCTGTGTGCGGGCATCTTTGATCTCCTTGGAAATGGCCCACCCACACCCACATGCATGCCCCTGAGTGTGCATCCCAAAGGTGGGGATCTGACAAGGCTCCTGCTTTCCTCCTCTCTCCCACTCCCAGCTATTTCCTGCAGTGTCCTCTGGTGAGCCCTCCTACCGCAGCCTGCTCCTGGTCAACAAAGGCTCCATGCTGCTGATCTTCAGCTTGGCCCCCCAGAGCAGCTCAGACATCACCCTGCGGCCTGCCTCAGGCCTGGTAGCCCCTGGGGCCCACCAGATCTTTCTCATCAGCACCTACCCTAAGGGCACCTCCTGGAAGCAGCACATTTTCTACCTACAGTTCAATTTTTACCCCCAATATCTCAAGGTAAGAGGCAAGAATAGAAGTGGACCCTAATCTGTGACTTCTTTTTTCAAAACCACTCTCTGGGGTTGGCTTGCAAGGCTCCCCTGAACTATCCAGGAAGGTAGTATCTCAGGGAGATGGTTCCATTTGTGAGCTAGGCACCCCTCAGGGCCCTGCCCATCCACTTCATAGAATATAGGACCAAGACAAAGGGTACAGATATCCAAGATTCACACCTGTGGGTGGTGGAGGGTGTTTGGGGGCAGCCCAGGGATAGGGTCTGGCTGGTGGACCCATGTCTGACCCTGTGAACTGGCCTGAACATCCTCTCTGGGTCCCCAGGGGTTTTTTAGTTTACATTCTGTAGAAACTGCCAGACTCAGGTTGGCAGAGGACCTTTGCTCCACCCTCCAAGAGGGGAAAGCTGACCATCCATGGCCTCTTGGACACTTGGGAAGGCCAGGACCCTGAGGTAAGTTCAGGCACCACCCTCTTTCAAGGAGGTGAGCATGCAGAGCCGGGAGGAGCCACTGCAGCTGAAGCTGGACACCTACAGAAGCATCTTCTTCAAGCCCACCTGGGTGGGCTGCTCCTCCACCAGTTCCTTCACCTTCCGCAACCCCTCGCGTCTGCCCCTAGAGTTCGAGTGGAGGGTCTCCCAGCAGCACCAGAAGACGCTGGCCGTCCAGCCTGCCAGAGGCCTCATCCAGCCCAATGAGAGCCTTGTGAGTACCCTGACCATTGCTGAGGGTGGGGGAGAGTGACCGTCACCTTCACCTTCAGCGTTTCTTGCCCCTGGCTCTCACAGGCTATGCTGCACCCATCAGTCCACAGTCCCCTCTCCCAACTTGTGAGTGGGTATTATGAGTACCACCTTCATGTCCCCCACTTCACAGAGAATCGAGACTTAGTGGGAAAGAGCTGTTTACTGAGATCAAGGTTAGAAAGTGCAGAACTAAGTCTGGAACCGGGGTAGTCCCTGCTCCATCGTCCATGGTCCCAAAGCTATGAGATTGCCGGAAGGGTGGTGTGGAGCAGCTGGATTTGGGGCCAAATGGGCAGCTTTCAGTAGGGGTGATGATTCCCTGCTATAGAACAAAGTGGGCACAGTCTGGGACCCAAAGCAGCAGACTTTGTCTCTAGTCTAGAGCCTCATAGGGTAACTGGGGAGGCTAGATTTGGGGGAAAAAACCAACACATGGTATCTATCTGTCAGAGCCCAGAGACAGTAAGCAGAGGGTAGGGGCGATCACATGAACTTTGGAGTTGGCCAGAACCATCCCAGCTCCCACCCTCACCCGCTGTCTCACCCTTGGCCAGTTACCTTGTTTTTCTGAGGCTCTAGTTTCTCAGCCCAAAATGAGTCTTGAAAGTGATACCACTCACCTGCCATGGAACACAGGGTGCGGGGAGACATAATGTACCATATGGAGCAGACACTCAAGGGCATGGCCAGAGCCTGACACCCCACAGTGGGACCTCTACTGGCCAGGAGTCTGAGGAAGGGGGACCCTGGGGACCAGGCAGGGATCATCTCTGTGACTTCAGACACTGACGTGGATCTTCAGCCCTTTGGAGGAGACCAAGTACCTGTTCCGAGTGGGGATGTGCGTCTGGGAAGCTGGCCTGCCCCTGAACACCAAGCCCCCAGCCATCACACACTACATGATCCGCCTGGTGGGCATGGGCATCACCAGCAGCCTCTCTGTGAGTGGGAGTCCCCAGCAAAGTGAGGGGTTTCAGGGCACAAGTGGGACAGATTCCCAGAGGGCAGGGACAGGATTCCCCCGGCTTCCCCACCCACCACCCTGGACCTGGCCTTCCTTGGGGGATGCTCCAGGGATAGGAGTAGGATTATGGGACTGGGGACCCAAGGGAGTCCCCCAGCAGCTGGCTGACTGTGCCTCAGGCAGAGGCAAAGGAGCTGGACTTCGGAAACGTGCTGGTGACTAGCAGGGAGTCCAGGAACCTGGTGCTTCTGAACGATGGCAATTGCACCCTCTATTACCGCCTGTACCTGGAGCAGCGTAGTCCTGTGGGCGATGACCACAACTCCCCTGGTACTCAGACCTGGGCTGGGGTCAGGGGTCGGGGAGGTGTGTGTGTCAGGGAGGGTACTGTTTAAGATGGAGGGTACTGCTAACTGCGTGATGGTCTTGGTCAGGCAGAACAGAGCTTGAAACATGGTGCTTCCACTTTAAGGCTGTGTGGCTTTGTGCAGATGATTATCCTCTCTGAGCCCCAACATTCTCATCTATAAAATGGGGCTACTGGTGGTACCCACCTCACAGGACTGCTAGGTGAAGAAAAGTACCTAGCAGGTGCCAGTAATACAAAGTGCGGTGCCTCTGACCCATCCTGGGAGGAGGGCCTCCCTGTTTTCTGATTTGGGGCTCCTTTAGCCAGTGCTCTCCTGGACCAGCAAGGGTATCTCAAAAGGAATAGGAAAGACCAGGTGCCTCTTCCCACTGACCCACCTGCATCATCCCCAAGCAGCTCTGGAGCTAGACCGTTCAGAGGGGAGCATGCCGCCCCACTCCAAAGACAACATCTGCCTGACAGCCTGCCCGCAGCGCCGGTCCCAGTACTCCTGGACTATCAGCTACTCTCTCCTATCCCACAGAGGTACCTGGTGCCTGGCATGGAGAGTCAGGGCTGGGAAGGACAGAGGGGAGGGGAGAGAGCTGTGTGCAGCAGGCCTGTGGGGGCTGCTGAGAATCGAGACAGCAGCTTGGGCCAAGCTACAGCATGCCTTTGGTATCGGTGTGTATGCTGCATCTGACAGTATGTGTTTGCACGTGTGTGCACTTGAGCTGTGGAAGACTCAACTTGCAAAGTTAGATGTGCTGATTTCTTATGGGATTTTAAACCAATCCACAGCCTCCCTTAGCCTCAGCTTTCTCCTCCATGAAATGGATCTGTTACTAGCCTGGAAGGTGAGCAGGCACCAGAACATGGACTCAGTGACCTGGGATCCTAGCTCCAACACTTAATAACTGCAAAGTCTTGGCAAATTGTTGCACCTCCATGTGCCTCCGTTTTCTCATCTATAAAATGGGGGTGATAATGGCCCACAAAAGTAGGGACACATGCCACCACACAGATGGACCTGGAAAACATGACGCTTAGGGAAGTCAGTCACAGAAAGGCACATGGAATCATTCCATTTATGTGTGACATCTAGAATAGACAAAAATATACAGACAGAAGGCAGATGGGTGGTTGCTGGGGTAGAGCGTAGATGGGGAGCAAGAGCCAATTGGTACCATGCTCTGCCACGGAGCTACTCCCAGCCCAGTACTGAGTTTCTTTGCAGGGTGATAGAAGTTTTCTAAAATTCAGTAGTAGTGATGATTGTACAACTCTGAATATACAAAAATTACTGAATTGTGTGTTAAGAGGATAGATTTCACAGTATATAAATTATGTCTCAATAAAGCTATTAGGGAAATTAATTTGAAAACAAATAACAGTGCACATTAAAAGCAAAAAATCTAAGTGTGTAAAGCACAAGAATTGGCTGTGTTGTAAATGCCCCAGAGCCTGTGGCCTGCTCTCTCCCCCACCCCATCCTGCATCACTTACCTGCATGCCCCGCCCCTCTCTTCCACACCCATGCTCCCAGATAACAAGGTTGGCGAGAAGAAAGAGTTGTGTCAAGTCTCTCTGGTGGCTGTGTATCCCTTGCTCTCCGTTCTTGATGCCTACTCCATGGGCAGTGCCGAGGGCATCACCCGGAAGCACCTGTGGCGCCTCTTCTCCCTGGACATGCTCAACAATTACTTGGCACGTGACCCCACACCCGGGGAGCTCACCTACCGAGTGCCCACCCGGCACAGGTAAGCTGGGCCAGGGAAAGGGGGACAGGGACTACTGGGAATGTTCGCGGAGCTACCTGCCCACATCCCAGCACCTATCTGAGAAGCTGCTTTTCATCTTTTGGGAGAAGTGACCTCCAAATTCTCACTCCTCCCTGGAGGGACCTGGAGAAGCAAGGATTGTCTCAGGTCTGAAGAGCTAACTCATCTTGAGTTCCACATTCTCCATTTCCCACCTGGGGAGATGGGAGTGCCCAAGCCAGCCACCCCTGGGAGCCCTCCCTGTCCCATCCCCAGTTCTGAGCTTGTTTCTCTGCTTCACACAGCACGAACCAGACCCCCCCTGTCTTCACCCCTTTGAAACTTGATTTCAATTTTGGGGTAGCACCGCTCAAGGCCCCACCCTCTGTGGTACTCCTGGACCTGAAGAACATTGGGATGGTACCCTTGGACTGGTATGGCTGGCCTGGAGGAGGTGGCTTATGGGGGTGCGGGGGGGGGGCAGAAGGGTGTGGAAGAGTCACCTTCTCTTGCCAGTGGGAAACCTGAGGAAGGAGCCTCCCCATGGACAGGGTGTGCAGGCCCAGGTGGGACTCGGGTCACCCAATAGCAGTTGGGACCTGTCATTGGCTGAGACGTGTTGATAGGCTCAGGGCAGGGTGGAATTGCCCTGATGGAGACTGGGCACAGCCATCTTTAGTAACCAAATGATGAGAAGCTTTTATTCAGCACCTGCTGCATGCCAGGCTTCAATCCACCAGTGCTCACAGCAGCCCTGTGAGAAAGTTCTCTTCTAACTCCTCCATAGGCCAAGGTTAAGGACTCAGCTAAGACCACTCACTAGTGGGCAGAGCCAGGTTGAAATCCAGATGTGTCCAACTCCAGAGCAAGAAGGCTTTGAGTAGCTTCTGCATACCAAAGGTATCCAGGTGCTAGGACCCTCCAAACAGCTCCCAGTGCAGCAGGGCTGGGCCTGACTGGGTTCAAGTCAAGAGTCTCAGAGAAACAGGGGTTTGGTGCCACAGATAGACCTTCCCCCAAAGGGCATGGCTTAGAAAATTTGTGGGGTCTGCTGGCAGGGTAGAAGCTGGCTACAGAGCAGGCTGCACTCAAAGGTCCCAGGAGGCCAGGCCTGGAGACCCGGGCCCAGCAAGCTCAGCCTTTCCTATGCTCCACTTTCCTCCCATTTGGGCCCAGAACTTGTGTCCTTTTGATGACTTCCAACTTTACTTAGCTATCAAGAGGTGAAAAAGAAGGGTTCCCATCTGAGTCAGGCTTGGGAGAGAGAGCTCCGCCCCTCCCCAGGCTGGACAAGTACTAGAGAGTAAACTGCAGGTGGAGAATTTGTGATGCAAAACCGGTGGCCTAAGCAGGAGTCTTGGGGTAAGGGGGATGCCGGGGAGTGGAGGCCCATTGTCGGGTGTGCAGCAGCTGCCCCTTGCACTGACTGTCCCCTCCCCAGCCTCCGCGGTGGAGTGAGATGGAGAAGCTGGCTTATGAAGTGGCTCTTGTCAGGGAAGGATGGGACTGTCAGCAGCCCAGGGCTTCTGGCCTTGAAAAACTAACCGGGGAAGCTTGGCCCTGCGGCTGGCTGAGGTGGGGAAAGCCAGGGCCTGCCTTGAGCTCCAGATCTGCCAATCACTGGGCTCTGGTGGGCCAGGAGCCAGGCCTTACGGGGTTCAGGGTGTTGGCTTGTGTCCTGGAGTGGAGCAGGGTATTTGGTGGACCACAGACACTGCGTGTTTGTGTAGGAGCAGCCTAGCTCACACTCTCAGTGGACAGAGTCCAGGTGCTAGAAACAGGCAGAGTGCCTGCTGAACTGGACCCCTCACTGGAGGAGAGCATTTGAGGTATAGGAAGGAGTCTGTGCTTCTTGCAGGGTTCCAAGGGGCCTGACTCTTCTGTGCTTTTGTGTTGTTTCAATTTCTTACAAGCTTTTTTTTTTCTTTCTGTTTTTCTTTTCCTTTTTAAAACAAATTCTAGTCTGTCTCTGCTTAGTTCATAAAGAACAGACAGAGGGTTTTATTTCTGCCAGGACCAGTTATATAGAGGGAGTATGGACTTGGACTAGAGGTAGCAGCAGACAGGATGGAGGGAGAACTCTAAGTGGGAGGAGAGCCGTGTAGCTGCCTCCTCCCCTCAAGCCTTCCCCTGACACCTCTGCTCTGCTTGGCCTCAGGATGCATAGGGTCTGCAATTAAAAGGCAGCCTACCAGCACTGCAGTGCTTGCCTGTAATCCCAGTGGCTCGCAAGGCCAAGGCAGGAGGACTGCAAGTTCAAAGCCAGCCTAAGCAACTTAGTGAAGTCATAAGCACTAAGAGAGACCTTGTCTCAAAATAAAACAAAACAAAAAAAAAGGACTGAGGATGATGTGTCTCAGTGGTTAAATGCCTTTGGGATTAGTTCCCCATACCAAAAAAAAAAAAAAAAAAAAAGGCGATCACTTAGAGTTGTCAGGTATACTGGTTGATGTTTTTTGTTTGTTGGTTCGTTTTTATTGATTGGCTAAACCTTACTTCCTGGGTGGAGGCTCCTGGCTCCAGCCTGCCTTCCTTAGAGCATAAGGGGCCTGGGGCAGCTCAGCCTCCTGGTTGCCTAATGTATGCTTTGAGGATAAGCGTGCAGCACCCAAATGGGGGTCAATTGCTCATGTTTGTTTGCTTGTTTCCGGGAGGTAGGTAGGGATATCAGCAAAACTTCCTAGATGAAGCTACAGCCTAGCTAGACCTACAACCTAGGATCAAGAGGCAGAAAGGCCACGAAGACCCTTCCCACCAGAGGTCCTGGTGTACAACAATGGGGCTGGAGCAGCAGGAGGAAGGGGGGAAAGGCCTCAGGTGAGGTTGGAGGAGTAGGCAGGGGCTAGGACATGCAGGGAGGGAACCTTTCTTTGGAGAGTTTGGACTTCTTCATGAGGGACCAAAGTGATGAAAGCTATGGGTGAGGCAGAGAGTCACCCTGATTACCAGGGAAGATAGGTTAGCAGCTTGCAGAACAGGTGGGAGCCATAGCAATCCTCCAGACTTGGGAGAGGACACCCACTGGAGGACCAGTAGAGGACCTAGGAGGGAGTCTGGATGAGGGCAGTGTGTGCAGAGAAGATGCTGAACCCAAATGGAGGACCCAACATGGGATTTCTAGGTCAAGAAGCAAACACGTTTTTTTTTTCAAATTCCTTTGAAAAGACTATAACAGTTTCCTTTCTCCTTACCTAAGGGTAAGGGTGTCTCTTTGTTCTAAACTTACCAGCATTGTTACAACATAACTATTGTTCACATTGCCAAAGTAAAAAAAAAAAAAAATTGAAACAGATTCCTTGTGAGAGTTTTGGCTTGCATTTCCTTGTTGAGGCTTTTGGGGTGTGTCCTATCTGTCTTCTTTGTTTCCCTCACCCCTGAAACTCTAGGGAATCTCTCTTTTTTTCTGGATGTTTCTTGTTCACATTGCTGTCCTAGTTTGCTGCTGGAGCCAGTTCCGTGCCATCTTTGAGAGTGAAGCGTTCTCCTAACCGATTGTGACTTCAGGACCCCTTTATTGATACTATTGTCAGCGAGAGCGCACAGTCTATTTTTCTTCAATGCAAAGCACTTCCAGAACATTATTCCACGCTATGCCTAAGCTGGCCTCTATACTTTTCCTGTCAGGGACCCCTGGGGGGTGCTGCCAGCATTCTTGGGAGCCTCAAATGGCCCCTTCCTAAGAGTTTTATCAAAGAAGAGTTAGTGGCCTATGCTGAGTGGCCCATCAGTACAAGTGACCCACTCAACTCCTGTTACCCACAATGGGAGCCCCAATCTTCACTTCTCCTTTACTCACTATGGCCCCTATTCCATAGGGGACTACTATGGAATAAGAATGCACAACAGCCACATTAGCTCAGCCGTGCATGGGACAACCTGCCAAATGGGGGGAAGAAATGCAGAAGGTGTGGCAGAGGCTCAGAACTCCTTTCTTCTGATTCACCCATCCTGGCACAGCTTCACTACCTTTACTTCAAATCCCTCTTCCTCCTCCAGGGCCTTCCTCTTTCCAAGTGACCAGCAGATTGACTTGGAGCTATGGGCAGAGCAAGTAGATTTTGACAGCACTGAGCTCCACCAAATGCGTGCAGAGGACAACTGCATCTTCTCCATCAGCCCCAAGACTGGGAGCCTGAGTCCTGGGGAGGAGCAGATGGTGGAGTTAAAGTACAGGTGCTCCTCCTTCCCCCACCTCGCACCTTTGGTCCTAGAGACCTCTTTCCTTGGCGGTTCACTGTGGGACTCCAGGGCCATTCCCCTGTGAGGCCACCTTCCTACCTGCGGGGGAGGCCTAATGTCCTTCTTGCCCTGTTCCAATTCAAGTATGGGTCGTCCCAGGAGCTAGCTGGCTCAAATCCACTGGTATACCATGTCCATTTGTTCTTCCACTTTTACGAGGGTTCAAAGAACTCACTCCCAGACTTGTCCCCTCTCTTCCAGTCACCTGTTTGTTGGCACTGATCGCCTGCCAGTGCTCTTCAAGGTGTCACATGGCAGGGAGATCTTGGTAAGACCCCAACACCCTGGCCCTGCCCTGGGTCTCAGGCTGAGGGAGGAGCTCTCTGGACAACCAAGAGAGGAACTGGGAATAGTATCCACTGGGAATCAGGATCCAGATCTTTCTGCTGGGTGTGCCACTTCCTCCCAGGGAAGGATGCTATCTCTGGGCTTTTTTATTTCCAGTTAAATTTCATAGGCATAACAGTGAAGCTGGAGCAGAAGTACGTGCTCTTCACCTCCACTAGCCACCAGTTCATCCCTGTCCCCATTGGCAACACGCTGCCCCCACGGCAGGTCAGTGGTCTATGTCATCTTGATCACCAAGAGTTCTAAGCATTGATCTCTGCATATCTGTGACAACCTTGATGACTGACAAAGATGCTGTCCTCTAGAAGCACCTAAGAGGTAGGGTTGGCAGGTTGAAACCCCAAATTGGGCAACTGGGGAGATTCAAAGTGAGAAGCTTGTCTCCTGGGGCCTGAGACTAAGCCTTTTCATCAGACTCAGTTCTCATACAAAAGTGAGTGGTTTTCCCTCTGGCATAAGATTGTTCAAACTTCCCTGACCATGAACTACACTAACATGTTTTATATCATATATGCTTATACCCCAGTATTTACATATACATACAACCAAAACAGAAGTATCATAAATATACACGTAGGCTACCACTTGAAAAGAGCATTTATTCTGTTCCTTTTTTGTTTATTTTTAAAATATTTATTTATACTGGGGATTGGATTCAAGAGTGCTTTACCACTGAGCTACATCCCCAGCCACCCGCCTCTTTTAAATTTTAAGACACAGTCTTGCCAAGTTGCTGAGGGTCTTGCTAAGTTGCTAAGGCTGGCCTCATTGTATGATCCTCCTGCCTCAGCCTCTTGAGTTGCTGGGATTATAGACAGGCACTACCATGCCTGGCCATGTTCCATTTTAAAAATGCTGGATAAGACCCACTATAGAACTGCTCACTAATAGGTGTCAGCCAGAGTTTGGAAATTACTGCAGCAAGGAGATATAAAGGATAGGAATGCCTATCCTTGTTGTAAACTTTCCTTCATTAATTGGAGAGAATCAGGTACCTGTGCTCTGAAAATGTATATTGGAAGTCCCCAAGAGGTGAACATAAGATTTTCTGGAATATTTAGCATCTATGAAGTCTCTAAGCATTTAGAAGCCACCCCCCCAAACACCAGGTGTTGCCAGACATTCAGCCTAGAGACTGAGGAATGGGCTTCCTGGGCCTGAAGGGAGTCCCAATACCCAACTCCTTTCACCTCCCTTCACCACCTTCTGCCCCTCTGACCTCCCAACAGCCTCATTCAGGACAGTGACAGAGAAGCTGGCTTGAATTACAAGGGACATGTGGTGCCATTTTCAGAAAGGAAACAAACTGGGGAAAGGAATCAATTTTAGAGTGAAGAGTTTTGTTTTGGCCAAGTGTGAAGTTCATGTGAGACCCCTAGAGGGCTTTTCAGTAGAAGTCAGTTACTAGTTTTCCTAGTCCATTCTGGCTGTGATAACAAGCTACCAGAGACTGAGTTGGCTTATAAAGACAGGTATTTATTTCTTATAGTTCTAAAGGCTGGGAAGTCCAAGATGAAGGCCTGGGAAGATTCTGTGTCTAGTGAGGACTTGTTCTCCTGGTTCATAGGTAGCATCTTCTCACTGTGTCCTCCATGATGGAAGAATGAAACACATTCCCTTGGGCCTTTTTTACAAAGGGCACAAATTCCATTCATGAAGGCCCCACCCTACAACCTAATCACCTCCGAAAGGCCTCCCTCTTTAAGATGGCTGTATTGGGGATTATGTTTCAGCATATGAATTAGGAGGGTGCTGGCACAAATGTTCACTGGTTGGTCTGGAGATTAATAGGGTGGGCCAGGCTGAATAACTAAAGTGAGCATATGCAGGAGAAAATGCTGAGAAAGAGAAGGTTCCAGGACCAAATGCAGGCCAACCCTTCGTTCTCCCGGTCTTCAGTTTTCTCATCTCTAAAAAGTAGAATTGGATAGACGGTCTCTGGTTTCTTCAGGACATTCTTTGTAGTAGACCTTCCTTCTACTCCCTTAACTGCTTTAAGCAGTTACTCCCTCTAATGGCAGATGTAGAAAGTGACAGTCTCATGGGGGATTGGAATGAGAGCCTATAAAACAAAGAAGGGTCTGGATGGTGCATACGTGGACATTTTCCCAAGTCCCAACACTAGGCACACTCCCTAGAGTCCCCTTATAACTTTGCAAGGTAAACTGAGGACAAATAAAATAAGCTGCACCTTTACAAATGGGATTAGAGATTATCCTCAGAGGTCACAGGCTGACTATACAGTTAACATCCTTTCTAGATGCTCAAATCAGAGGCTGTTAGGGGAGTTCAGGGACTCTTCAGATGATATGGTGGAGCTCAGCTTGTCTTCCCCCAGTACGCAGAGAGTCCTGGGATCTCTGGTCTGCAGTCCTGAGCTGGTGTGGAGGTCTCTATTCCTGTCCCCTACAGATTTATGAGCTGTACAATGGTGGCTCAGTGCCTGTGACATATGAGGTCCAGACCAGCGTCCTGTCACAGGTTCAGGAAAAAAGTTTTGATCACCCCATCTTCTGCTGCATCAACCCCAAAGGTGAGATCCAGCCAGGTACCACTGCTCGTGTCTTGTGGATCTTCTCACCCATTGAGGCCAAGACTTATACAGTGAGCAGCAGCCTAGATGATATAGGGTGGGGGTTGGAGCTGTGGCTTCCTTATCAGGCCATTGTATAACCAGTCCCCTATCCCACCCTCCTGACTTCTCAGGTGGACGTGCCCATACACATCCTGGGATGGAATTCAGCCCTTATCCGCTTCCAGGGAGTAGGCTATGACCCCTGCGTCATGGGTGACACAGCGCCATTCCACAGCATCTCGTCATGGGACAACAACTCCATACACTGTAGGATGATGGTTCCTGGACAGGTAGGGGGAAAGGCACCTGGGAAAGCCTTGAGAACCTAGAGAGCCTTGGAGCCCAGTGGCCAGTTCAGAGGGGTGAGGAGGTGGGAAGGAAATGAGATGGAGTTGAGGAGGGACTGATGGAGAGGTGAGGCCTGGAACCAGCCTTCCTCCAGGTTTAGAGGCAAGAGCAGCTCCATGGGAGGCTTACCCTGCCACCTAGTGCCCACAGGCATTTTTACTCAAGCTCCTGTCCTTTCTTCAGGGTTTAGAAAGAAGCCCTCCTATTCCAATTATTATCTTCATACAAAATAGTCCCTCCCCTGGACCTAGATGGATTTTGCTGAAAGCTATCAAGGGTCACTGTTACTACCTTTAGTTCATATGCTTCTCATTTTTGGCAAGTGTGACCTGTTCATCCATCCACCCAACATCTACCTACCCATACATGCATTCATTCATCTATCAACCCACATACTCCTTGTTAGTCTATATATCCATCTATCCATTCCCCATTCATCCATGGTCCCATCTAGACAATCACTATCTCTACCTGTCCACCCTTCTATTCAGACCCTCATTGTAATCCTACTCCAGGATAAGCACTGTGGAAGCCCTGGAACACAGAAAGAACCAGAAAAAGTGCCTATTCTGAGCACTCAGGGCCTGTATGGGAAGAAATTGCCATTTCTGTGTGGCTTCAGTCTTTGCAGACATCCCTAAAACACAGCTCCTATTCTGTGCCCAGGGAATATGCTAATATCTGGTCATCTGTTCATTTACAACTACCCATCAAAGTCTCCAATAGTGTTGGCATTAATTCTGTCTTCTCTAAGCTAATTCTGATTCCAAGCTTACTTTAATGGCTGAAATCCTGGGCTTTACTATGAACCTGGGTGGGTTTATTCTAGGTCTGAATGTGAGAGGCATTTAGAGAAGTTATTTATGCTCTCTGAACCTTAGAAGTACATCTGTCAAATGGGAATGAACGATAGCAGCACCTATGTCATAGGCCATTATGAAGGTCAGATGCATGGGTATACCTGACTTAGTGCAATACCTGACCTGTTGAATATGTCAGACTGATAGTGATTATATTGTTATTATCTCTTCACCTCCAAAAGCTACTGTTATGCTATCTCCACCAACAGGCTGTCTTCCTATCCCAGTCTCATATATCCCTGGGAAACATCCCTGTTCAGAGCAAGTGTAGCCGCCTACTCTTCCTCAACAACATCTCCAAGAATGAGACAATTGTCTTTTCCTGGCAGCCAAGGCCTCTAGATTTTGGGGAGGTGAGAATCTTCTTTCCCCACAGACCCAGAACCTCTAGCAGGGCTTCAGACTTCTCCTGACCCATCCCATCTCACTCCATCCCATTCCATCCCATCCCATTATATCCCACCTTGACCCATCCTGTCTCATCCTATCCAATCATGTCACAACCTGTCTCATCTCAACCTGTCTCTTCCCATTTCATCCCTTCCTGTCCCATGTCGTCCCATCCAATCCCATCCTTGTAGAACTCTAAAGACTCCTTCCCCAAACCAACAGATATCTGTGAGACCCATGATAGGGGAACTGGCTCCTGAAGAGACAGCTCCATTTGTGGTGACCCTGAAGACCTCAGTGCATGCTAGCTTTTACAGTGTGGACCTGATATGCAAGGTGGGAACCAGCCCCAGGGAGATGAAGGTGGGGTAGAGGGAGGCTCTGAGATCCTCAGACCTCCAAAGAAAGGCAGGAGGGTAGGGGGGCTGCAGCACAGGCCCCAGGTGAGCCCTAGCTGAGACCCTCCAGAGCTAGGCCTTCTCTCACCTTGTGCTGGGCCCAGGTGTACCGGCAGGAGCTCATGAAGCAGTACCACAAGGAGCTCCAGGAGTGGACAGATGAGAAGGTGCGACAGGAGGCAGAATTTACCATCACAGACAGGAAAGTAAAGGTGAGGAGTGCTGAGTGGGTCTCCCAAACCCACATCTTCTAACTGGCCTCATCAGAGGGGATAGAGGTGGTGGGCTGAGGTGGTCTTCCATGCAAAATTGGCCAGGCTGCCCTAAGAGGTTAGATTTTATTCATTGGACTCTTCTCTTAGCAACTGGGTGGGGGCAAAGGCTGACTGACCATTTCCTGCTTCAAGAATGCCAGCTGTATGCTGGGTACTAGGGAGACAGGGGAGACAACACAGATCTCACCTTCTTTGAGCCATAGTCCTGGTCCACATGTGTCCACTACTGGCTTCAGGTGCAAGCTCTAGAAGCATGTGGTACAAGTTTGATTCCTGGTTTTTACCGCTTCTAGTTCTGTGACCTTGACTAAGTGACTTAACCTCTCAGTTCCCTTTACTGTAATATGAGGGTGATATGAATCTGGGATTTGCTTCAAGATAATCCAGAAGTAGGGACAGATGAGACAAGACTGGCCCTGGGTTGCTGATTGTTAAAGCTGAGTGACTGGGTAATAGAGGATTGTCACATTTCTTGCCTTTATGTATACAAAATAAAAGTTTAAAATATTTTTAATGTGAGTGAAATATCTGCTTTGTAGCCTTATCATAAGGATTAAATGAGTTAATATGTGTAGAGTGCCTACAACGGAACCTGGCACCCAGTGAGCCTTCCCTAAACACAGGTTTTAGTATTTCTGGGGGGAAACTTATAGTAAATACAAGACAGTGCCTCCCAGTCTCACAGTCTGCCTGTGTTAGTGTTCCTGCTCCTCAGTCACCTCTCTGTTTACCACACTGAGCTCCTAGAAAGTTTCTGCTCCCTCTAAAATGCCAGCCCATCTGTGAATACAGATCCCTCCCAGGGCACTGGGAGAGGGATTTTCAGACAAAGTCTTCATAAGGGACATTACTTTCCTGTCTCACAGAACCCCAGAGCTCCAAGGCACAAGAACAAGCCCCTTTGGAGCATCCTGCCCACTTTTGGTAGCATTTCCTTCTCTTTCCTTCACTTGGGTAACCAGATTTCCCATGTCTACAGGCAGTACTTTCCTAGGGAAGGTTCCAGAAGAGGGTGTGACTGGGAAGTGGGCAGGACCAAGAAGACAGCAGGGCCAGAAACTGGTTTCAGGTCTTCCATGTGCCAGAGAGAGGAAGAAGGGAGAACACAGGCTAAGCCTCTTGCATCTTAAGCAAGGGTTAAGCAAGAGTCTCTCCTTCCACAGAAGAGAGCATATTGTACTGCCTGTGAGCCCATGAGGAGGTACAAGGTGAGGCATGAGCCCAGGCCCATCTTCTTGTGGTAAATTGGGAGGATCCTTGTTTGTTTCCAGAGAGACTTCAACCCCATGGTCCAGGCTCCTAGAAGGGAAGGGTGAAAGGGCCATACTCCCATGTGGACCAAAAGGTCTGGTTGAGGGGCTAGGACAATGAACCCATTGGTGATGGGAGTGTGGTCTCCAAACCCCTGTCACTCATGCCTCCCCCTCCCCAAAGACACTTCCCCCCATCAAGAACAAGCAGTCTCTCAACTGGCCTGCCAGTTGGAACCTGAAGATCACAAAGGAGGAGACATCCTGGCCATGCCCCCAGCCTCCCGCGACAGGCATGCTGTGCCTGAGCCTCAGTGCCCGAGCCCATCCCACTGACTACTTCTTGGACAACTTCTTCTCAGAGTTCTCCTGCCACTTCTTGCACAGGTGACATCTTGGGAAGGAAGGTCCCCTCTCCTACTCCTGAACAGGGGCTCCCCACACCCAAGCTTTGGCAGGAGCTGGAGCAAGTACAGGGGCAGCAGGATTCAAGATGTACCCCGAGTGCTTGGGCCCTTATGATGAGGGGACAAAGCAACCAGAGCCCTGGGGAACCCACCTATGCCTCCCGCCCTTCCTTGTTCCATCCTTTGCCAACTCAGAGCTCTAGGCCCTGCCCCGCCCCAAAGGTTGGGCTTGGCAGGAGCACTACATTTGTATTATAGCTCCAACATATCAATGTCCTCACAGCTATGGGCAGCTACCACCATGGCTTATCCACCCCATCCCAGCATGGTGGCTTGCCCAGGCCACTCAGATTGTTATGGCCTGCCCCAGGGAGCTGCCAGAGAGGAAGACTCCCAGGGAAGAGTCAGAGGCTTCTGAAGAAGAATTCCCTAACAAGGGGACACTTGTCTACAAGCAGAAGAAGCAGCTCCTGGTTGACTGCCTTACCAACATCATCAGGTACTGGCCCAGCATATTTATTCTCCTGTTTCTCCAGGTTAGTTGGCCCTGAATTCCAGCACTTCCTTTCTTGAGGAACAGAACTTTCATGCAAGATCCTTCTGCTGGACTACCAGGATAGTACAGCGCTAATGGAACTGGCTGAGGGAACCTTGAGGCTTGATCTGAGTTCTGCACTGTTCCATGGCTATTGGACGAGGTCTGGAGACAATTAATTGTCTCCCCAGGGCTCCTTACCCCTTATCTGTGTCATTCTGACCTGTTGGCTCTGCCTCCATCCTATCCTGTTCCCCTCTAAGAATCCATGGGCCCCAACATGCCTTCCACCAAAGAAGGAAGAAAGGGGCAACTGACTAAGGGCTCTCCTCTGCTTCCTAGCATCTGCTTGTGAAAACAGAAGGCAAGAGCTGCCTCTTGGGGAGCCCCAAAGTCAGGAACCTCCAGGGGGCTGCAAGGCCCCTCATTGAAGCCCATCTCCTCCTCCCTGCCTCCCAGGGGCATGCTGGAAGACAAGAACTTCCACAAAGCTGTGGACCAAATCCTGGTGGAGAAGGTGCCTTACTTCTGCCAGTTCTGGAATGAGCAGTCAGCCAGGTTCATGGTCCAGAAGAGCAATCTGTACTTAGTGCCAAACCTGTCTCCACCCTCCAGCACCTGTGAAGAGGAGAAAAGCAAAGAGCAGGAGAAGGACAGACAGGGGCTGGGGGAGGAGGACAAACGGGGGCTGGGGGAAGAGGACAAACGGGGGTTGGGGGAGGAGGACAAACCTGGGTTGGGGGAGGAGGACAAACAGGGGTTGGGGAAGAAGGAAGGGGGAGAAGAGGAGGAGAAGAGCAAAGAGGAAGAGGAGGAGTTGGAGGAGGAAGAGGAAGAAGAGGAGACAGAAGAGGAGGAGTTGGGCAAAGAGGAGATAGAGGAAGAGGAGATAGAGGGAAAGGAAACATCTGAGACCTGGAAGGAGATTGAGCCCACAGTTCAGCCAGAGTTCCAAACCTCCCTGCAGTGGCAATGGCGGCCGGACCTGAAGACCCTGGTGAAGGAGGAGCAAGAGCATGAAAATAAAGAGGCCATTGGAAGGTGAGCAGCCAGGCCCAGGTGAGGGTCAGGAGGGAGGCTGCCTGTAGAAGGTTCATAGGATACAGTGGTGCTGAGGCTGGCCCCTGCTTGTGTGCACATCTCTTCCAAACTCATTGTTCTGCGACATCATGTTGGTAGCTTAAGGCCTGGGTTAGGAATATTTGTATAACAGCAAAACTGCAGCTTTATTTATTTTCTTCTGTGCAAGCAGATGGTTAGCATTTAGCCAGCACTACAAGAAAGTGGTAACAGTCTTTAGAGACTCTTCAATGAATGTCTAGAGCCGGAAGAAACCACTTTCTTCTGGCACCAGCTTCCCCTGGGCCAGCTCTGGGGATGCATTGTCTTTTTGGGGGATAACCATAGGTCCCACTCATCCCTTCTGCACCCACTCGTAACTGCCTAGATTTCAATCCCACCACTTCTATAAGTAGCGCCCCACCCAATCCCAGTTACTGGAGGTTGAACCCATGCTAGGCAAGTGTTTTACCTCTGAGTTACATCCCAGAACAATCCTCCTACATCAGCCTGAGTAGCTGGGATTATAGGCCTGTGCCACTAAGTTGGTCTCATTTGGCTATATATTGAGCATCTGTGAAACTGGATCAGGATGCCCCAAAGTGTTGCGGGGTGAGCGACAGGGAATCTGCATAGAGCCCCTTTCACACTGTGCTGCACCGAGGAGGTAGTGAGCGGACAACCAGCACAACCAGCCTCTCAAAAGCTGTCACCCCCTCCCCCTCACAGGCTACCCGCTTTCGCCAACCTGCAGGAGGCGCTGCTAGAGAACATGATCCAGAACATTCTGGTGGAGGCGAGCCGCGGGGAGGTGGTGCTCACCTCGCGGCCGCGCATCATCGCTCTGCCGCCGCTCAGCGTGCCCAGGTGGGGGCCAGCGACCGCACTGACCTCGCTGGAGAGGCTTGAGCGGCTGCAGGGGCGGGCGGGCGCGGTCGGAAGCCCCGCCTTTACCCCTATCTGGGGCTTTCTGTCTTCCAGGATGCCGACCCTAGACCCTCTGCTGCCCACGCAGCAAGAGGAGGTAACCGTCCCGGTGGCGCCACCTCCTCCCGACTCTTTGCTGGCTACCGTGCCCAGCCTCTCTGACATGCCGACCTAGGTCCCGCCAAGCTCCCTCTCCACCGCCCTGCCAGTAAAGCATCCAGCCCTTTTTCTCACTCTACCTGGATTTTATTTCCCCGACGAGGGGGAAACGCGCGTGCACTCTGAGAGGGGTGGAAGGTGGGAGCGGCCAGGATGGAACCGCAGCGACCGCTGGGCACTTAGGGGCTAGAAGAATGTCCTTCCTTGCTCCACACCTCAGTTGGATGACAGCTCTCTAGCTGCTGGGCGCTGGACCCAGTCTGGCCAGCGGAGGGCGCTCCGGGGCAGGGCGTAGATGGCCTTTGCCCGGGTGTAGCCTGATGGACAGAAACTCAGCGCCAGGCCTGGGCAGCGAAACAGGTGGCCATGAGGCGGGGCGACCACCTCTTTCTCATTGCCCCCACTCGTCTGCTCTGAGGCTCTGCACCCCCGGCCAGCCTTTTAACATTTGCCGGTCTCCTGGAACTCAGATTGTAAGGGAAACTGAGGCACGCCGCAAAGGGCTAAGAACTAGGTTCTGGGGCACCGGTCAAAGTCACCATCAGGCAGCGGGCCACAGTCCCAACTAAGCGATTCCCACTATGAATTGACCCCTAGACCAAAAGATGTTCCACTTTTTCTAGAACGTCCTCCTCCCTTTCCTCTAACCCCCGCCCGGCAGCCTCTGTCCTCTGCTCCTCGGCTCCTCCCAGCCCAGAGGCAGGTGGGTGGAAAAGTGACATCTGGTGTTGTTCCAGAGGCGCCCAGGTCCCCGGCACCCTCCCTTTCACCCCCGCCGCCAAGGCCTCGGAGGAGCTCCGGTCTCAGAGCCCGAGCTGGGGAGAGGAGGGGGGCGCTCCTCCTCCATGAGTCAATATTTGCCCCGAGCAAACGGGCGCCCGGACAGGTGTGAGTGTGCGTGCGTGCGTGTGTGTGTGTGTGTGTAGGGGCGGGGACTGGACCTGCGGTATAAGAGTGCGCTGAGCCCGGGTCCTGGCACAAGCTTCGGGGCGTGGGCTGGGGACGAAGCCAAGCAGGACCGCGCAGGGCAGAGGGGCCAGGAAGGCCGGGCGGAGGGTGGCCAGGAAGGGAGGGGCCAGGTGTGCACCTGTGGTGGCTGCCGCGGCCGCCGACGTGTCAGCCACAGTTGTGCGCAGGTGAGGGAGGTGGCTAGCGGAGTGTTGAGCTGCACTGCGCTCGCGGAAGACCAGGACCAGGAGAACACCGAGGGCCACCTCCAGGCCCCGGGCCCTCCGCTCCCGCCCCGCGACGAGCCCCTCGCACAAACCGGACCTGAGCGTTTTGTTCGTTCGGCTCGCGTGAGGCAGGGGCGGCCACTCAGCACCAACCCCGGGGCCCAGCCGGATCGCCACGCAGGCACCTGCCTGTCGCCGCCGCCACCATATGGGTCGCAGAGGGTGCGCCGCTCCCCGGGGAGATCCGGCTCCCATCCGGCCCCTCCCGCCTTGCCCGCAGATTCTGGGCTGCCCGGCTCGATTCCGGGTAATGCGGGCTGAGCACGCTCCAACAGGGTGGCGGAGGGGGCTGTGGTTTGGGACAGATGCCCTTCTGGAGGTAGAAACTCAGATTCTAGTCCCTCTTGAGCAAGTCATTTCCCAGCCTCTCGATTTTCCCATTTGCACAATGAGAGTGTTGGTCTGGCCTCCCACAGGGTGATGGCCTTCCCTGCCTCCATATCCTGGTTCCTGGACTTCTAGCCATACTTTGAGCCCTCCTGATGGTGAAGATGGAGGCCCTGCCGTTGGAGCCAGAGCTATGAGGTGTGGAAAATCTGGGTGGGGCCGGATGGGGACTCAATTTACCCCTCAGATCTCTGGGGCTGCTTGCTGATGGCCTGAGATTTCTCTTCCTGCCACCTCTCTGGTACTCCTTTCAGTCCAACGTCTTAGACCATCCTAAAGACTGAAAAGGACAAAGATAGGGTTCCAAGATACACAACTCACCTCCCTAACTCCAATCCTAGGGCCCTTGTTCAGACAATTGGGTGGGCTAGGTCTAAGTAGTCCCCAGCTCACAGCCAGTTTCTGGATAGTTATCCACAACCCACATCTAGAACAGGCCCTTCCCTCCTTTCATTTGCCCAAAATGCAAACATGTAACCTGCAGGAGGGGGAATGGAGATTGTCAGGCCCTGGCCTTCTGCTTGAGGAGCCCGGAACTAAGGGCTCCATACAAGTCCTAGAGTCAGGACAAGCCAGAATTGAGTCTCTGCCCTGTGAAGTACCCCCTTCCTCCGGACAATGCACAGCCAAGCTGAGCTAGCACCAGAGGGGCTAGTAGCATGTAGGAGTGGTAGAAGGGTCCTTGGACAGAATTAAAGAGCTTCTAGTTTCCGTTTGAGATGAGGGAGCATCACGGGAGGGAACTGTATCCCCAGGCAGAGACAACCCCCAGAGTGCTAGGGACCAGGGTCAGAAGTGGTTCCAAAATTGAATGTTTCTGGAGATGCTAGCTTGTCCCCTTCACCACCTCTCTCACTCTACTGCCCTCCCCACCCAACTGCCCTGAGGTCCCACAGGAGCTACTGAGTCCCTGTCATAGAAGTTGGGGGTGGGGTGGTGAGACGGCTCTGACAGATCCCAGGCAAATCTGGGGAGAAGGTGGGCTCTTGGGGGAACAGCTCCAAGCTGGGGGAGGACCCAGGGGCCTCCAGCTGGGTGTGTGCAGCCCCCATCTTGGCCTTCCTGACCATGCTTCTGTCCTGGCCCAGCCTTCCTCTTTGCTTGGTACTGAATGATTTACTGTCAGGGGCCTGGCCTGGCACACCTTCCCTGGGTCTTTGAGGGTATCCCCTCCCCTCCTCTCCCCAGCCAGGGCAGGGAGCTACAGCTCCCCTCTGACTGAGATTCCATGCCCTGAGGCTGAACAACAAAGAGGTCTCCCCTAGGAAATGACCCCCCAGAAGCAGTCCTTGAAGGGAGGGTCTAGGGCCTGGGGATCTGGTGATAGAGACCATTGTTCCTGCCCCAGGGCCCCATTTCCCCAGACTTCCACTCTGTACCCATCCCCAAGTCCTGCATTTCCTGGCCATTACCCAGGATCTGGTCTCTCCTCCAGGTCCCTCCTCCCTGACTGGCCAGAGAGGGTGGAGTCTCCAGGCGCCTGCCAAGCCTGCAGGTGCTGGGCTGCGTGGGGAGGGGGGTCCTTAGCAGCTGGTGTTCGGGCGGCCCCTCCCCCCTCCCTGCTCTAAGCCAGAGCCTGCTTCCTGTCATCCCTGTCAGCACCCTGGATGGGGGAGGGAACAGGTAGTGGGAGAAGAGGAAAAAGGACTGAGCAGTTGGAGTGCAGTCATGGGGGGGACTGGGAAACAGCCAAAGAGAAATGGCAGTGGGGGAAGGCTGAGAAAGGGGCCTGAGAACAGGGGCAGAAAGGACAGAATGTGCATCCCAGAGCTGAGTGAGAACACAGGGGAGAGTCAGGGCCCTGGGAGGTTGCAGACCCTCAGACAGTGAAGACGTGCCTACAGGGAGACCAGAGACAGAGAGAACCCAGAGAAGGGGAACAGAGACATAGGGGCAATTTGAAGAACAGGAGGTGGACACTGCAGAAAGATGTAGGTTTAGAACATCTTGTAACCACAGGTGGAAGGCACAGTGTGGGTGGAGGAAGGGGGCACTGTGGACATATCGAGGTGCTGAAGTGCCCCTCCACTGAGGATATAGAGGTAGGCTGTGAATAGGGACAGCTGGGCTGGAGGTGGGGCTATTGGGGATGCCCCTCCCCCTTTTGGAAGACCATTCTCCCATTAAAGGACTGGAGGTAAAAAGGGACCGAGCTCATACCACTACCACGACTAGACAATGAAGGGCAGGAGAAGGGATGGGCCTAGACGTGACTCCATCTCTCCCCTTTTTCTTTTTAGTCACAGTGGACAGGCCAACAGCTAGGGAAACTGCCTTGCCCTACTCTATTAATTCTGACCTGGCCTTGGAACTTCAGGGCTTGGAAGCCATCCAGAATCTAGGTGAGAGTGGGGAGACCAGGAAGGGGGGCTCATACCCAGGTGCTAATCCCCATCCAGCCAAGGCAGTACCAGATCCTCATTGACCTTCTTGGAGATTAGTCCCCATGGAGACCACTGGCAACTCGCCCCCTCACTCTGGCTGGGCCAGGTGGGTGGCTGGGTGGGGCAGGCAGAGGCTGGATGGGGAGGGGAGTAAGCCTTCCTAAGGCATCACAGGATCACAGCAGGCAGGGTTAGGAGGCCCCTCCAGGATCATCAGCCAGTTTAACTTAACAGTCAAAAAAAAAAAAAAAAATCCAGAGGCTCCAAGAGTGAGAGTGACTGGCTAAAGGCCACAGATGGAGCCAAGAAAAGCAATGGGAGCAGAAGCCAGATCTTTGGTTTCATTCCCAGGTGTGTTTTCCTGGAGAGCAGAGGCCTGTGCAGGAACAAGAGAAATTGGGACACCTGCTCTGACCTTGTCAAAGAGGTCATGAGCAGGCAAGGTGTGAAGGTGCACCATGCTGAGTGCGTGCTGGCCTTCCCAGGGCCAGGAGGAGGGGGAGGAGACAGCACCCTGCTTGCTGCCTGGACCACCTCTGATCCCAGCCCAGCCTCTGGTGGGGTGGTGGGGAGAACCATGCCACAAAAGCTGTTATAACTGCAGGCGACAGTAACCTTTAACATTTGTTGGGCACACGCTGTAGGGCAGTTTTCTGTTTTGCATGTATTTAAATCTTCACAACAGTCTTTAATAAAGACAATTATTCCCATTTCACAGAGGAAAAAAAAAACTTGAGAAGCACAGTATATCACCCGACTTATAAGCAGTGGAGTTAAAATTTGATCCCGGTAGCAGCCTGGCTCCAGAGCCCACTCTTTCTAGCCTTTCTGTGCCTGTACAACAATGGCTGGGCAGTTCCAATGATGTCTCTCTGGGCAACTGCAGAGTGGGCATGTGTGCATGTGAAAGTGCACAAGGTCATGGTCACGTGTGAATCCGACACCCCACACAGTGCGTTGCATGTGGTACATCTTATTAAATATTTGGGGAATAAGTGAGTGAACAAACATCTGTCATAAATGAGTATGACATTAAAGTGTCTATCTACAGAATCCTAGAACAAGGCTGTTCACGTGTGAAACGTGTGGTATCTTATCCGTGTGCCTGTAACTATGGATGGCTCTGTCTCCATCTGATTTCGAAGGTGTGTGTTATGTGCCCCCTCCCTGCAGCCCTGTGACCTTGTGTCTGGGTGAACAGGCAGTGGCTGCTTCCCATCTCCTTGGATGGTGGCCAGATCTCCAACCCTACTGAGCGGCAGGGAAGAGGGGCTCCGCTTCTGGTGGGAGGGGACCATGGATCTGGCTAGGCGGGGCTCCCTCCAGAGTCGGCCTGATCTGGGCTGGTTTCTGCACTGAGTTATCTCTGTCTCCCAGGAGACCAACCTTGCACAGCCCCAGGGAAGGAGTTCATCTGCCTGTTTCAGACCTGGGGTGGGGCGGGGACTAGAGAAGCCAGGCTAGAAAGGAGGGGCTGGTGATGGGACCAGGGTGGCAGCAGGCAACATTCACAGAATTTGCATCTTCAGTCTCCAAAGCCCTGGATGATTTCCCAGGGAAATGAGGGGAAGGGGTGGGAGCAGACTACTTTGAGGAAAAAGACATTGGCCACCAGCACCACTAAGCGGCCCAGCAGTACTGAAAAGCTGAGCTATTCGTGGGAGGGGCTCTCTACTTGGGGGAGGTGTCACTTCTCTGGGGTTTCTCAGGCCCTTTTCCTGGGATGGAAACCTGAGTGGGAGCTCAGGGTTGAGTCTGAGGGTTTCTCTGTAGAATCTGTATGTCCCTAATGTGGGATGGGTGTCTGGTTGGAATCTGAGAGCCTTGCTGAGGGGATTCAAATCTTAGGATTTCTCTGTGAGGTCTTAATAGTTTGTGTGGGATGAGTGTTTTGGCAGAATCAAGGGTTGGGGTGTGGCATGGCAGGATCCTTAGATTTCTCTGTGGGATCCAAAGGTTCCAATAGGAACGAGATGAAGAGCTAGATGGGCTCAGAGTGAGTTGGGTTCTCTGAGGGTGATGAGATCCCTGTTCAGTCCTGGGATCTCTCTGAAGTATAAATCAGAGGATGTTGGGGGGCAGTTAACTCCCGTCCATGCCCAAAGGCCAAGTCTTGGAGGAGGTAGGAGTGATGGTGCTGAGCTGGCAAACAAAGCCACCTGGGCATCCATCCTTCAGGAAGCTCTGAGCACAGCTGATCTGGGAAAACAAACAGGAACAGCTGCTGGGCTGGGAGGGGACCCAAGGGGGAGGCTGAGGGACCCGGCTGGACCAGCCTGGTCGGGAAAGGAGGAGACCCGAGGGTTCCACAGCACAGGATGAGCTCCCACAGTCCCATTCGGGCACCTCGGGGTGGTAATTCCTGAGAGCCCTAAAGCCAGGGGAGGGGTCTCGGGGTATGTGGGACCCTGAAAGTTCTTCTGGACCAGTGGCTGTAGGTGATGTTGGACATGTGGTGTGCACATTTTTTAAAAAGCTGGTTGTGGATAGAACTAAAAGCCAAGGGTGGGATGGAGGGGCCTACATATTTTCCGGAAGAGAAAATCAAGGTACAGAGAGGGCAGAAGCGGAGAAGCTGGCTGGTACCAAGATTAGAGCTGCCAACTGGAATGGGATGGGGGGCTTCTCACACACCCCAAATGGCCCCGCTCCAAATCCCAGATGGATGTCTAATTCTGACCCGGCTCTAAGCTGCTACCTGGCCCCGCCCGCTCCCCGACCCACAGACACACCCACGCACACACAAACCCCTCCTAAGGGATACTGTCATCTACCAACACCTGGACTGCCCCCAACCCCAGGTGGAGCCGGTTCCTCAGCGGCATGTCCAGACCCTGGCCGCAGAGCAAACAGAGCCTCGGGGCTAACACTCTAGGCCCGCGTCACCGACAGCGCAGACGCACAGCCTGACGCATTCGCCACCAGCCCCACTGGCCCCTCCCAACCTCAGCGACCCACCAACTCCCCCGCCCCATCGCCTGAGCCTGCTTTTGGCCCAGCGTGACCTGGCTGCGCCCTCTGGTGGCAGAATCCAGAATTGTTTATTGAAGGAGAGAAAGTGAGAGATCTAACTGCTCACGCCTCATCCTGGCCTTCACCCAGGCTTGTGAAACTGAAATCAGAGGCTGGGACATCAAAGCTCCAGAACTCGCTATTGTCTCATTCTGTAGTTTGGATTATACTTGTAGCTTGAGGAAAATTATATCCCATTTGTGTTTGTCTTACCCTCTCCAGGGACTGAATCAGACCTAGTGGTGATTGTCCCTTCTCTGATCCCCATCCTTCTGACTTGGACTCCACCTCCATGCCCAGTTCTAGGACACTCCTCTTCATGAATATGAGCCCTGAAAGCAATTTTTCTTCTTTTCTTGAATCTTTCCACATTTTTTTTATTGTGCATTATAGTTATACATCTGACAGCAATTTTTCATGAGTGAAAAGAGAGATCCAGCACCCAGAACCCCGTTCTCAGTAACCCAGGACTTCAGGAGTGAGGAGGTTAGCAGGATGGGCAAACCATCCACGCCCTGCTCCTACTGGAGAATTTCCTCTACCCTGTTTTCCCCATGGACATTTGGCCCACACCTGACCATCTTGCTATTTACTCAACAGGTTTCATTGAGTGTCTACTATGTATCCAGAATTGTGCCACATTTGAGGATAACAACAAAGAACAAGACATACACTGTCCCTGCCCCTTTGAGTAGAGCTTACACTCTTACTAGTAAGACAGACATTTGTACACCTATAAACAAACACAAAATGAAAAAGGTATGTTGACAGAGTGATAGACACTAGGGAGAAAACATGGTGATGTAGGGGATGGTAACAGTGCCAGGAAAAGCATCACCCAGGAGGTGACAGAGGAGCTACAAGGACAAAATCTTGTGACTAAGATAATCCAGGGAAGGGGCTCGGGATGTGGCTCAAGCGGTAGCGCACTCACCTGGCATGCGTGTGGCCCGGGTTCGATCCTCACCACCACATACCAACAAAGATGTTGTGTCTGCCGAGAACTAAAAAATAAATATTAAAAATTCTCTCTCTCTCTCTCTCTCTCTCTCTCTCTCTCTCTCT